TGCACCAGTGACATCAGGAATAATTCCTCTGCAGTTAATTAATTTATTTTTTTACTTTTATTGAGATAGCACCTACAGCATTCAACCAAAATCTCATTGAGCTACATGGTGTACAAACACAGAACAAGAGACTGTACTTACTTCAAGGCAGCAACTAACTAAACTGACCAAACAGATGTTGGGGGGAGAAACCACAGTGGTGGTTTGCAAATGTCATGTTAGTTCCACAATAAATTTTTTTAAACTATTTTTTAGTGTACAACTGGTGAGATCAAAATCAGGCCTTATGGGTCTCCTTTCAGCCACTAGTCCATTGGAGTTAAGAGTCTACTTCAGCCACTAATTGGCTGGAATGCTATTTTGAGACTTGGAAATCTCTCTCAAAGCCCCACATCCAACCCCTAGGCCATTTTGATATGTGCACTCCCATATCTCCAACACCCCAATATTTTCAGATTGATATTCAGAAATACTCGTCTCACAAAATATGGCTAATATTTATGCTGTTCAGTAAGTTTATCCATCACAACTACAGATATACATGTGCATAAAATATATTCTCTCTCCTACATACTTACTGATTTGGTAGGGTTGACAATAGGCTATTTGTTTTTTGTTATATTAGTACCCCACAAAGGTCTCGTTACACTGCCAGAATAGAGTGAAAGAACCTCCATGTAAATGAGAATCACGTCTTTAGTGTTTGGGCAAATTTGGTTGCTTATAAAAATAACACATTAATGACAATGACTGAAATCAAAGCGAAGTGGACTGGGACTATATATACTTCCTCACACTCAGTTATTCAATATTTTTCAGTTTTGAGCTGCAGGGTCTCTTCTGATTCAGTTCTGGATCAGTGCCAACAGGAATTTGCCAAGCTTTGTGATCAGCATATGATGTTGCAATCTTCCAGTAATGTAAGTCTACCACTAGGTAGCATGATTGCCTTTATTTATTTGTTTGGTTATATCCTGAAACTACTATTGCCTTCAAAAAAAACTATCAACCCTTCTTTGCTGAAAATCATCAACTCTTCTCTGTCCTAGCACTCAATACAGCAAAGTGCTGAGCATTTTGGCCCTGATCCCGTTGACTTCATATGCTTAGAGCTAAGCATGCACTTAAATGTGTAGCTGGATTGGGGCCGAAGAACTCAAACAAGTAAGCCCTCAAACTCATTTTAACTTCAGTGGCATTATACCTGTGTAAGGTCACAGGCGAACCAGGCCAGAATAGTGGAAAAGAGAAGTTTTCTGCTAATGTAGGATTATTCCTGACTGTACATTACAACACGAATAGCAGTGACCACAATAGTGAAGGCTACACTTTTTTTTTTTTTTTACACTAACTGGTTTAAGTTATACATAACTTCCTGTCAATTTCCCCTGTCAGGCTGAAGTTTCCATGCTTAATCTCTATTTGAAGGGAATCTTTTTCTTTTTAAAAAGTTTGAGCAAAAATAACACAGCTGTTTCTGAGTATGAGTGAAAAATATGTTTTCCCATTATACAAAATAAACCTTAAAACCTAAAAAATAAATAAAAATGCAGCCCTAGTGGGGTAGAACTTAATTTTTTTGCACCTGAATAGCCCTCACTGGGAAAAAATTAGTTTGTGTGTTCTAGTAAAAACTGGTTTTGACTTAGCTGATTTTTTATACGACTTTGAAAAATGAGCTGCAAGATGAACAGAACATTTTTTAACATCAGTGGTGTTTTTTAATAATGATCACAAAACATTTTGAACAACTGGAAGATGTGCTGTGAATATGTACATATTAATGTAGAAATGTACTCAAATGTGACATAACTGCGACAGACCAAAGGTCCATCTAGCCCAGTATCCTGTTTTCTGACAGTGGCCAATGCCAGGTACCCCAGAGGGAATGAACAGAACAGTATCATGGGGTAGCCGTGTTAGTCTGTATCCACAAAAACAACAAGGAGTCCGGTGGCACCTTAAAGACTAACAGATTTATTTTGGCATAAGCTTTCGTGGGTAAAAACCCCAGAAGTGGTCTATCATATCCCCTCTTAGTCATCTCTTTTCCAAGCTGAAAAGTCCCCGTCTTATTAATTTCGCCTCATACGGCAGCCATTCCATACCCCTAATCATTTTTGTTGCCCTTTTCTGAACCTTTTCCAATTCCAATATATCTTTTCTGAGATAGGGTGACCACATCTGCACGCAGTATTCAAGATGTGGCTGTACCATGGATTTATATAGAGGCAATATGATATTTTCTGTCTTATTATCTATCCCTTTCTTAATGATTCCCAACATTCTGTTTGCTTTTTTGACTGCCACTGCACGTTGAGTGGATTATGTTTTCCAATGTGCATTACTTTGCATTTATCAACATTGAATTTCATCTGCCATTTTGTTGTCCAATCACCCAGTTTTGAGAGATCCTTTTGTAGCTCTTAGCAGTCTGCCTGGGACTTAATTAGATTGAGTAGTTTTGTATCATCTGCAAATTTTGCCACCTCACTGTTTACCCCTTTTCCCAGATAATTTATGAATATGTTAAATAGGATGGGGCCCAGTATAGACCCCTGGGGGACACCACTAATTACCTCTCTTCATTCTGAAAATTGACCATTTATTCCTACCCTTTGTTTCCTATCTTTTAACCAGTTACCAATCTATGAGAGGAACTTCCCTCTTATTCCATGACTGCTTAATTTGCTTAAGAGCCTTTGGTGAGGGACCTTGTCAAAGGCTTTCTGAAAATCTAAATACACTATATCCACTGGATCCCTCTTGTCCACATGCTTGTTGACCCCCTCAAAGAATTCTAGTAGATTGGTGAGGCATGATTTCCCTTTACAAAAACCATGTTGACTATTTCCCAACAAATTATGTTCATCTATGTGTCTGACAATTTTGTTCTTTACTATAGTTTCAACCAGATTGCCCAGTACTGAAGTCAGGCTTACTGGCCTTTTATTGCTGGGGTCACCTCTGGAGCCCTTTTTAAAAATTGGTGTCACATTAGCTATCCTCCAGTCATTTGGTACAGAAGCTGATTTAAATGATAAGTTACAGACTACAATTAGTAGTTCTGCAATTTCACATTTGAGTTCCTTCAGAACTCTTGGGTGAATACCATCTGGTCCTGTGGATACAGACTAACACAGCTACCCCTCTGACATGTGGTCCTGGTGACTTATTACTGTTTAGTTTATCAATTTGTTCCAAAGCCTCCTCTAATGACACCTCTATCTGGGACAAGTCCTCAGATTTGTCACCTAAAAAGAATGGCTAAGGTTTGGGAATCTCCCTCACATCCTCAGCCGTGAAGACTGATGCAAAGAATTCATTTAGTTTCTCGGCAATGGCCTCATCGCCCTTGAATGCTCCTTTAGCATCTCGATCGTCCAGTGGCCCCACTGGTTGTTTAGCAGGCTTCCTGCTTCTGATGTACTTAAAAAAAATCTTGCTATTACTTTTTGAGTCTTTGGCTAGCGTTCTTCACATTCTTTTTTGGCCTTCCTAATTATATTTTTACACTTAATTTGCCAGAGTTTATGCTCCTTTCTATTTTCCTCACTAGGATTTAACTTCCCCTTTTTAAAGGATGCCTTTTTGCCTCTCACTGCTTCTTTTACTTTGTTGTTTAGCCATGGTGGCTCTTTTTTGGTTCTCTTACTATGTTTTTTAATTTGGGGTATACATTTAAGTTGAGCCTCTATTATGGTGTCTTTAAAAAGTTTCCATGCAGCTTGCAGGGATTTTACTTTTGGTGCTGTACCTTTTAATTTCTGTTTAACTTTCTTTCACATATAGTGCCACTTCCCCACTAGCACAACCTGTTCTCTCCTTCTGATATATTTTGTACCCTGGTATTACTGTGTCCCATTGATTAACCTCATTCCACCAAGTTTCTGTGATGCCTATTATATCAATATCCTCATTTAATACAAAGCACTCTAGTTCACCCATCTTGTTATTTAGACTTATAGCATTGGCATATAAGCACTTTAAAAATGTGTCACTTTTTAGCTGTCTCCCATTACATGATGTAATTGAATGAGACTTTTTTTCATGTGACTGTTTCTCATGTGCTGGCGATTTGCAATGAATGAACTTGTACAGTATGTGGTGAATGAGTCAAGGGTTCAAGATGTTGAAAACAATGAGGTTGCACAGGTGTAACATTTATCCTATAGAGCTTCATTACTGATAATGATGTGCAAACCAGAAAGAACAAAGTGTGGTTTTCCAATCTCTGGCGGAGCTTGCAGTGCTAGCATTTGGGGGAAGTGGGGGAAGAAATCTTTTTACTTCTGTTCTGAACAAATTTAAACTAGAAGTCAACAAGATGCAATAAATATGGGACCCCCTACTTCCATTTTTGCAGAAATGAACTTTAAAATAACTTAATGTTTCTAAACAATATTCTTATATCTCCCATAACATTGGTACCTGTCACTGGCGGACAAGTTTATTTAATCGTTTATCAGGTGATAGATCAACATGCAAAGCACTCTGACCTGAGTCAGTTCCTGAGCCACTTCTTAGAGACTGATTGCATAATATGAACACAGATTAGTTCCATCTAGAAAGCAAGATTTCCCATTGAAGTATGAGCCCTACAAATCCTGAGGGAAGGGATTGGACTATACTTCATTCCTAAATGTTATCACCGCCAGCCTCCTCTGAATCTATGTGCTCTGACTCAGATCAGTTTGGAGCAGACTCCCAAGTCAGATAATTTCACATTCAATCACTGATCTCAGGGTCTCTAAGTCAGAAGTGCTTGACTGCAGGTTGTTCATCTTTTGTGTTATATTTAAAGGAGCCAAACTGGTGACAAGTCAAACCTGTTACAGAGTGTCTTTCACTGTCAATAGAGGTCACTGAACATCTCTATTCATTCTTTTACCAGGAATCTTTAGCTGATAGTCTCTTTTTCCTGAAGATGGACTTCAGCTTAGAGTTCTCTGGCATGACATTTTGAAAGCACAGCCCCTGACCTTTCCAGACTTTCACTTGCTTCACAATATGCTCTTCTCTAGACACAGAAGTCAGCTCTTGTGGGTTTTGAACTGCATCATTGATCATACAGATTTCCAGGGCTCTGGATAAACAATTATTAAAAAAAAGTTTTAATAGTGTCATTTATATAAAGATGAAAGTATTCTCTAGCTATTTTACTTTGTAACTTAGTTTTCCATTTAGTCTCCTAAAATTGTATTCTATTCCCTTGGTTGCTCTCTAGCTCATGAGAAAACTTAGATACACAATATTCCCCTTTTCCCTGTTCATGTACGGTATCTTCATGTTTCCAGGCTGTAGATGCTTTATGGCCATTTGCCAACACCATAGTATATGTTTCTGCTTCAGTCTTTTCTTTTCTACTCTATAAAAACCAGCATTTCTGCGGGGAGTGGAAGGTACGGGGGACAACATGTTAACAGCTGCTGAGGCTACAGTGGTCATTAAGGTGACATAGCTTTGATGAAGCATCTCCACAACCAGGCCACGGTCTTGCTTGGAAGATTCTTTGCCTACTCCATCACCCCTTTCAGGCTATAAAGGCAGGATGCTGCATTTTGGAATTGGCTGCAGATGTGCTACAAAGTAATACTAGTGATAAAGAGCATTTTCAGCATATAATATAAATGTAATGTCTACTGTGGAAGCATTTCTAGCATTAGACACTAGAACTGCTGCTCTGCTTAGGGCTGATTTGGCTTTTCATCCTTCTCTGAAGTAGACAAACTGAGCTCCCTAGAGTTTACTGTGTGTAAATATTCAAAACCGGACCTTAAAAACCAGGATTCTGTCTGCTCTGCGTTGACATTAATGATCTCTTGGCTCTTACAGTAAGAGAGATTTGCCCTAGTGTGCTTGGCCACAGTTTCTCTTACTCTCAATATTGCATCACTGCAACAGGGCATGAGTTGCCTGTCATCTTTCACCCCAGGAAGGGCTGTATTTCACTGCCACTGCATGCATATCACTGTAACATGCTTTAGCATCCTTTGGGATGACAAGGGCTATATGAATGTATTGCCTTCATATAAATTAGGCTTGGCTAAAGCCATGCCCACTTGGTGTGGCACTCTGTCCCCCTCTAGTGGTTGCTAGACTACAGAGGTTAATGAGCGTGCTACAGCCTAGGCTAAGAGAGCTCAGTCTTTTAGCTCAGGAAGTTGAGGCTTACATATTAAGATCCAGAAGTCCCAGGTGCTGGTCCCTGCTGCTGATGACCCACCCAGGGGCATGAGTGTTACAAGTGGTGTCCTATTTGGGGAATTGAACTGGGAAGATCCAGAATGCACTTCCTGGCCAGGGGGAGTATGTAAAGCCATGCCTGCTCATTGTGGCACTCAGTCTCCTTCTAACAATGGCTAGACCAATCAGAGGTAACCAGCTTGCTACAGTCTTGACTGAGAGAGGTGAAACTTTTAGCTCAGGCAGTAGAGGCTCACGTATGGAGCTCTAGAGGTCCCAGGTTTGATCTTGCTGCTGATCACCCACCCGGGGGTGTCAGCATTACACTTGGATAACTGTTCATCCAACCCTAGCTGTTGAAATGAAAGTAAAGTGCATGTAGATGATATCTGTACCCTGTAACTTAAAGGCAGCATTAGCAGTGAAGTTGTCAGAAGCACTCTATTTGGCAGGCAGAAATGATATAAAACTCCAAGCAGCACAGAGTCACAGAACATTCCTGTCACATGGCATTCTCCTCTTCTCCACTGCCAACTGCTGGCCTGGGTCTTTGAAGCTTAAATATTTTGTTTTGTTATAAATTACAATTTTGTTATAAATTACAATTCAACCCCACTGAAAGTGAGTGCAATGCCATTGAAATCAATAGAGTTGTAGGGATGAGTTCCATCCACCTGTGAGGAGGTCCAAATTCAGGGCTCTGCTGGGGCATACAAAACCCATACTGGAGAGCAAGGGGTGAAGGTACAGCTCTGGGCCCAGACACACCTGCAAAGCCTGCCCAAGCTGGGGGCAGGGCTTCAAAAAAAGAGAGCAGAACAGCTCAGAAGGGGGCAGTGGAAGGAAGCAGATGGCTGTTGTGAGGGGAAAGTACAGCCCAGGAGCTCACTGCCTGAGACCTGATGCCTGTGCAAACCCCAAATGAGAGGCCAGTGAGTGAGTGTGCAGGTCAGAGACTAGCCAGAAGTGATTTACTCCAAGAAGCTAAAGGCGGCTGAGGTAGGAACTGGGGGCAGCTGCTTAGCACCCTAAGGTGCTGATTGGAGCTGCCCACCACTGGGCCCTGGCCCAGAGCCTGGTGGAGAAGGTGGGCCTGGGCTCCCCTACCCACTCCAAAAGGACATTACAACAACAAAAGCCTTCACCTTGAGTGAGAGGCTAGTGGGAAAAGACTTCGGCTATTTGAGGGACCGGTTCCCCAAATCCTTGTGCTAAAGGGGAGGACTGGAAACCATTGGGGGCAGGGCATTGAAAGACAGAACTATGTTTCAACAGGGAGATGGCCTGGCAACTGCTGTCTGACCACGAGGCAGCACTGTCGGGGATTATGAACCTTCTACAGGGGCATACTAGTCTTTCCAGTGTGTGTTTTGTAAGATAGCCTGTAATAGTATTCATATTTGGCAGAGGGAGCCCATTAGAAAGGTACAACTGGCACTGGTACAACTAGCTTTCTTAGTTTGATTGTGATCTCAGAAGTGACATTCATTCTTTTACCATCAAAACCTGCCCGAGCACATCAACAGTCTGATTATCTCTGCAGATCTTGTTCTATTCTCCAGGAGGTGAGGGATAGAGAATTAAAATCAGGGCATGAGCCATTATTTGAGAATACATTGTTTCCCTTAGAACTGAGATTTCATCTTTGCAAAGTCTGAATATGAGAACACATTTTTCCATCTAATTTTTAAGAAGATACAGCCTTGAAATTAACTCATGTAGTCTGGAAACATGCTGAAGAGCTGTCAAATAGCTCAGATCATCCTGCTCCAGAAGCATCAGTTGAGCTAAAGGAGAATGTCCTAAGGAGGATAGGAACAGCTTGAAGAAAAGAGGGGCCCAGAAGAAGCTTCTTTTGGGACAGAAGAAGTTGTGCAGGTCAGAGGTGAGAAAATCCTGCTTTGGCAAAAGCAGCTTCCAGGAAGGAAGCAGTCACAGGGGACTAAGAAGAATCTCACTTCCATGGGGAGAAACAGCCATGGGGAAGATGAGTTCTAAGGGAAGTGCTGAATAGGACAGGAGGAGCTGCAGAGGGGGCAAAAAGAAGCCCCAAGACATAGGCCCAGGCAGATCATTGCATGCACAAAAAATGGATTGCAAGTACAGATGAGATAATTGTATGTGTGTGAAATGGTTACTTCACACTCATCTGTGTATCTTGCATGTGCAATTACTGTACCTCTTTGTTCTCACATCCATACATGCACATCTTGGGCACTTAATTTTGAAACTTTGTCTGAGTGAATTGTAGAATTTTTTAGCTGAAATGCAGTATTTGCAAAATAGATTTTGGGAGAGAGAGCTACACTGGCATGAAAGAAGGTGGTTGTCTTTGTGGCTAAATATCCAATCTCTGGTAACTAAAGAAGATGAGCCATTTGCAGGCTAACAGAATCCTGTCAGAAGCCACTAAAACAATGACGCTGCAGTGAACCTTAAAGTCCATATGGTCTTGTATGAAATACGGTACACTGCAATCTTTTATGCTTTTTGAAAACCTGGTGGCAGCAATGCTGTATCAGGTAAGCTTTTACATTTAGTATTCCCTCCTAATCAAAAGAGACTATGTGAAAAAGTCCTCTCATCGTACAGATGTTCATCCAGAGTTTAATCATGCAAGATGCTGAGCACTCTGGCTCTGATCCTGTAAACCAGGTTTTACCTTTAAGCATGAGTGGTCTCATTGACTTTAGAGTGATTGCTCACATGCTTAAAGTTAAGCACATGCTTATGTGCTTTGGATGGAGGCAAGAGTTCTCAGCAAATACTAAAGGCCAATTCTCAGGTCAGTTACACTAAGACCCCTTTACACTAATCTGGCATTTTAAAGGCCTTTTATGCGGCTAGAAAAGTATAAAGGGGCCTTGGTGTAACTGAGAATTCAGGCCTATAGATTCAGTGGGTGAGACCTTCACACCAGTTCTGGCCCCTTTAAACCAGCTAAGAGGACCAGAGCAGCAGAAAGGTCCTAAAAGCCCTGTATCTGGCTGTGGAACCATTCACTATGTACAGGCAGAGCAACATACAGCTGTAAGGCAGTTCACTAAGGGCCCCCTCTCAAGCCATGGTGCAGGGGGGCACGTTGAGATCAGATTCAGGGCTGGCAGTGGGAGGGGTGAGCTGGGGTTGAGGTTACAGCACACTGTGCTGTGGAGATTCCAGGCCGTGCAGCAGTCCATAGGGCAGCCCAGGGAGGCTGCTGTAATTTAGACAGGGCTGTCTAAGGGCAAGTCTACACTACAAAATTAAGTTGACCTAAGTTACATCAATGTACAGCCACTGCAGTAATTAATTCACTTTTGCATGTTCACAGTACACTCCTTGTGTCGGCGGTGCGCGTCCTCACCAGGTGTGTTTATACTGATTTAACGGTCAGTGTGGGGCATTGTGGGACGGCTTCTGAAAGGCAGCAACAGACGATGTAAGCTATGCAGTATTTACACTCGACACTGCGTCGACCTAACTACATCGACTTAAGTGCTACACCTCTCACGAAGGTGGAGTTATTGAGTCAGTGTAGTGGGCAAGTTACATCGGTGGGAGCTGCATTTTAGTGTAGATGCTTGCAGAGTTAGGTTGATGTAAGCTGCCTTATGTCAACCTAATTGTGTGGTGTAGACCAGGGCTTAGTCATACTGAGGGCTTCTGCAGTCCCCAAAGCAGCACAGGTGTAAAGCCACCTTAGCCCTATCTCTCAAAGGAGCAGCATAGACTCAACCCTGGTCTACACTACAAACTTATGTCAGTATAACTACGTCGCTATGGGGTGTGGAAAATCCATACCCCTGAGTGACGCAGTTATACTGACCAAACTCCCAGTGTAGACAGCGCTATGTCAACAGGATTGCTTCTCTTGTTGACATAGCTACTGCCTCTTTGGGAGGTGGGGTACCTATACCAACAGGAGAAGCCCTCCCATCAGCGTAGGTAGCATCTTCACTAAGCGCTTCAGCGGCATAGCTGCAGCAGCACCACTGCATCGTAGACAAGCCCTAATACATTTTAAGGCCAGAAGGGACCATCATGATTATCTAGTCTGACCTCCTGCAAATTGCAGGCCATATACAACCTCACCCTGTAATAGACCCATAAACTCCTGCTGATTTACCGAAGTCCTCAATTCTTGATTTAAAGACTTGAAGTTACAGAGAATCCATCATTCACTCTAGTTAAAACCAGCAAGTGACCTGTGCCCCCTGCTGAAGAGGGTCTCTGCCATTCTGACCCGTGAGAAAATTCTTTCCCAACCCCAAACATGGCGATCAGTTAGACCCTGAGCATGTGGATGAGACCCACCAGCTGGACACCTGGGAAAGAATTCTCTGTAGTAACTCAGAGTCCTCCCTCTCAATGTCCCATCTCCAGCCATTGGATATATTTACTAATAGCAGTTGTGGATGGCCATATGCCATTGCAGGCAATCTCATCATATCATCCCTGCCATAAACTTATCAAGCTCAGTCTTAAAACAAGTTAGGTCTTTCCCCCCCACTACTCCTCTTGGAAGGCTGTTCCAGAACTTCACTCTTCTGATGAGTCATCTAATTTCAAGCCTAAACTTATTGATGGCCAGTTTGTATCCATTTGTTCTTATGCCAGTATTGTCCCTTAACTCGCTCCCCGGTGCTTCTCCCTCTGATATATTTATAGAGAACAATCATATCTCCCCTCAGCCTTCATTTGGTTAGTCTAAACAAGCTCATTAAGTCTCCTCTCATAAGGTAGGTTCTTCATTCCTCTGATCATCCTAATAGCCCTTCTCTGCACCTGTACCAATTTGAATTCATCTTTCTTAAACACGGGAGATCAAAACTGCACACAGTATTCCAGATGAGATCTCACTCAGAATGGATATGCATACAGATGTTTGCATGGATAGTGAGTATGAGAGAGACTGAGATTATTGATGAAGCATATAGCAACACCTACAGTTAAGATCAAAGGGATTTTTTCCAGTCCAAAGGGCTTCTTTCAATTGCTTATAACTTATTCAAATTCTTATCTTTCGGCCGAAATCTTCCAGGACTCCAAACAGATGTAGGTGGGGTAAGAGCCTGCAACAACAAGCAAGTGATCAAGTGTCTTGTTAATTCCATAGTTTTTATTTAGAAGGTGTTTAAATGTTATAGTGCTGAGTGTTATATGTAGGCACACACACAGATGTCTCTCCTTTAACAAAATTATCAAAGATTCAGTAGATGTTTATATGGCTGAATTGCTTTTCTAGAGTACCTTGACTTTATTTACTTGTGAAATAGTTTAGATGAGTTTTTTCCCTTGTCATTTGCTTTAGAAAAGTGTCAAGAATAAATGAAGCTATAAATAGATAAATGGAAAAAGGCAATGGGCATTGCAGTAAAGGTAACACCTCAACAGAATTTGAAGGAATAGCCTTTGAAATATGTAGCAGACACTTTGTCCATCAGGATTCATAGCCTTTCAGTACAATCCATGGGAATTTACAAAAGTAGAAATAGCCACAGGAGGGCTCCCCTATTGTTCCTGGAGAGCAACAGAAGCACACTGTGAATTACAAGTAAAAAGTAATTAAAAGTTGAATATGAAGCTATAGGGTTCTGCCAGAGCTTCTTTTCTTCTGCATATAGTATCAAGATTTATCTATACATGCATGGAAAACGTCACGTAGATCTAACTATAGAAAGAAGTTGAACAGAAAAAAATGCACACATTTATCCCTAGCTGTCTCCATAAATAGGCATCTGTTAAAATTATTTTCTCCAGATGTTAGGGTGATTAGGTTTATAAAAACACACACCTATATTCCCCCTCCATAGTCTCTCAAGGGCAACCACTCAAGGTTTCTGGCTCCCAGCCATCACCTTTCTTGGGTGGAGACCTGCGTCTCTCTCCCTCTGGACCAGGGTTTTAAGGCTGCACAGCTTCCTGCCTTACATTGTGATATCCCTAAAAGTCAGTCTGCACAAGGCCAATGCCTGAGGGCTATGACCAGTGTATTGCCAGCAGTTACAAGTTATCACACAGCTCTTTTTCTAAGCAAGCACCTTTATGCATAAGGTAAAAAAGCATTACAGTGAAAACAATAAAAGTTCCTATACACAAGCTAAAAGCTTACCAGAGGTCATTCATCAGTGTTATGGGGCCCTAGTAGATCAAAGTCCTTCCAATCCACCAGCAAGGGTTGGGGGCTCCTTGGACAAAAGGGCCTGTCTGTTGCTGGATCAGAAAGAAGTCAATTAGACTTAGATTAGAAGATCAGAAAGAAGTCCAGAGTCAATTCAAGCTCATCCTTTTGTACCAAAAACCCTTTCTTTGTTTCCTAGTCTCCGGAAAACCCAACCTAAACCAGCATATGCAAACCACTCCGGGGTGGAACTTCTCTGGAGTAATTTACAATCTCAGGAGTACTCACCCCTCACTGTTTTTAGTTCTTGAAGGAGCTGCTGTAACCCACCTCCATGGAGTAGAACACAATCATATATAAACTATTCAAAAATGTAATACAATGGTCCCAAATTTACTGGGTAGAATTGCAATATCTGTCACTCACTGCACCCCTGATTCTCAATCAACTTCATTCTTATACAGATAGTAAAGGTGCTGTTTTTCTGACTTGTCTTTAAGTCACTCTTGGGCTGGTGCAGTGCAGTGGGACTCCACAGAGAATGCCCACAGTTATCTTGGTTGTTTTACAGGACACGAGGGCCGCTATGTATTAAATAAAAAGTTTTTACCCGTCACATGAAGTATTATGGAACCTGACCCCAGTGACGTCAATGGCAAAAATCCCATTGACTTCAATAGGGCCAAGAGGTCACCCCAAAGGCTCAGGTGGTGAAAATCTCCAAAGCTCTGTTGAAATCAATAAAGCTAGATTGATTAACACTAACTGTAGATCTGTAGATTTTATTGGAATAATTTATTTAACTTCAGTGATTTTTTACTTAAAAAAAGAATCAGGTTGTTGGGGGTTTCTTCCATCAGGATTATACTTAGTATGGGAACAGACTAGAGTTTATAAGCATTAAGTGAGAACTTGCCAGTCCCTCCTGGCACTCCATAGACCATAGTCACATAAATCGGGGGGGGGGGGCACGGTGGTCAGGGGGGAATGCCTATGTAATTCAAATTGGGACCTCCCAAAACATTCTCAGGTCTTTTTTGAAGATGATTGTAGTGCATGTTATCAGCCAAATCAAAGTCTCAGGACACCCCACAATCCTCTATCTAGTCTGCTGTCCTAGAACCCTTTCCAGTTACACATCAGCAGAAGTATGGTAACAGAGGAATAATACATTAGTAAATGTTCTCTCTATTTTACAATGGGGAAACGCTTGACAGAAGGGGCCAAATTATTATTTATATACAATAGGCCCTAGGAGCCCTGTTCAAGGGACAGCCCCCCCCTGTATTTGGTGCTGTGCATGTATGTAGTAAAGAAGCAGTCCCTGCCCCAAAGAGTTTACAGTATAGGGCCCAGATCCTGAGAGTAATTAACTGTTGGAACAATTTACCAAGGGCCATGGTGGATTCACCCTCACGGGCAATTTTGGATTTTTTTCCCTGGAAGATGTGCTCAAGGAATTATTTTGGGGAAATTTCATGGTCTGTATTATCCAGGACGTCTGAATAGGTAATCCCAATGGTCCTTTCTGGCTTTCGAATCTCTGAATCCTGTGACTGCAGCCTCAACTGGATTACTCACATTAGTAAAGCTGAGCATAAGTGTCTGCAGGATCAGGGCCTAGGTTAATGACAAGACACCATGGTACAATTTCTGTCACTTCAGTGTGGTTGCGTACAGTGTTACTGAGAACAAAATTTGGCCCAGAGACTAGATCATGTTGCACTGCTGCTGTCTGATCTTATAAGCACAGACACCTCACCCAGATAACAGCAAGAGAGACTCCAAGCAGATTCACCTGAGATATATTTTAAGTACATTCACAGCCATGCTCAACTCACAGATTTTTCAATGGGCTTCTCACAAAGCCGATAGCCAGCTTTTGAGAGTTAATTGTATGTTATATCAGGTTGGGGAAGGGCTGCTGATGTTTACTCTAGTGTTTATTTTTGTTCCTTGGCAATTGCACTAGAGGAGAGAAGGCTGAATTTCATCCCCCATTTTGTTTGCTCTATCACTACTGTAACAATATGCTGGAACAAGCACATTTTTATGTCACAATGAATTGCCAATGTGTCCACTTTATACTTATTCTCCTTGTTTCCATAGAGCAAAACAATCCTGACCTTTAATCCAGACTTTCCTTGGTTCATTTTCTCATATATGTTTTTAGGTCAATTATAGCCTTGCATCACTGCTTGCCTTGTTCTCTGCCAATATGATAAACACTGGAGGAATTTTCATATCAGCCTGGCAGTATCTCACCAGATATTCCGTTAAAAGGACTTTTTTTTTTCAATCAAATCCATCAGTTACCATTTTTTAGCTTTGTATTATTTCCCTTTGTTTTCTGCAACGCAAGCTGCAAAATGCACAGAGTCATTCTCAGTCCCTTTGTGATTTAACACCACTCTGGCACCAGCTAGTACCAATCTACTCTCTATAAGTATCTGTTGGCATTTGCATTATGAACTCTGTTATCCAAGGTTTAATAACTCAGCTGTTCAGAATCACTTGGGCTGAAACTTGGCATATAAATTGTCAGCTCAGATGGTAATTATTGCAATAAAATGATTATAGAGTGGCCTTTCCTGTTACCCCAGCCTCAGTCCCTGCTGCAGCATCCCTGGAAACCACTCAGTCACATCAGAAATTAAACACAGAACCTGCTTTCCCCTGCTGATAACAATATGTTGATTCCAGGGGTGGAATCCTGGCCCCAATAAAGTCAGTGTGAGTTTTGCCATTGACCTCAATAGAGCCAAGACTGTATCCCAGTACTATCTTTAGTATTGAACTAGGATATTATTTATAGTAATAGGGAAAATATTGCTTCCCCTCAGTTTCTGTAGTCCTTGAGAAGCAGATTTTATTGCTTAAGCTTTATCTGCTTTTCCCCCCCCCCCCCCCGCCCCCGCCCAATGGGCACATCTATATTCTTGTCACCTCCCCCACCATCTCCAGAAACTGGCTGTTCTTGATGAGTCTTCCAGGCTTCTCCAACTATCCACTTCTGGCTTGAGGTCCACTTCTCTCTCTGTCCAAGTCTTTTAACTACTTTGCTCCAATCTGGTCCCCCAATCATTTAATCTCCTCCTTGCTGCTTCCTGCTCTTTTGGGCAGTGCTATAGAGCTCTGAACAAAGTGTGTGTGGGGGGAGGGTGCTATCATAACCTGGGAGCAGAAACTTTGGTAAAACAGTACTTAAAATGTGTCGTGCTGAGTCTTTATTTACTTATTTTGCTGGGGTCTGCAACCCCTTGTGAAATTCTCCCCTCCATTTTAAGCATGGCTTCTAGGGTTCTCTTTCCACCTTATATTGCTGCACCTATCTAGTTTGCCCGCTTGCTCCCATCCTTCAACCCCTGAGAAGAGTAGCAGGTAAAGGAGAAAATTAGTGGTCAATTGAGTGATTGCTTGGGGAAACATGGGGGACACAGAAAGTGACTGGGAGAGGTGGAAAGAAAGCCAATTGGAGGGCAATGGGCGAGACACAGTGTTGAAGAGGGAAAGTGTAATTTTTTTAGGAGTCTTTTGTACCACACAGTACTGTGTGGATATTGAGAGGAATGTTCAGCTTGCAAAGATAAGGCAGAGATAAGAGAAGTCATGGCTGGAGCAGAATTGGCCTATTATCTTTAAAATATGAAATAGCTCTTTTCAGGAACTAAGAAGAAGATGTGAGTTTCAGGCATCCAGGCTGAGAAAGCGAAGCAACTATGAAGCCCTTAGGATGATAGATTTCCAGTTACCAGTTAATGTGGATTATGGATTAAAAGAGGGGACACTGCCCACCCCGATCTTCATAGTCCAAAAAAAATCACATGTGAATCATAAAATAGAGACCTGGAAGACCCACCCCCAACAATTTCTCTTTGCAGACTATTTCCTGAAATTGTATCAGGTATTAGAGATAGAGCTGGTTGGGAAATTTTCAAAGTATGGTGTTTTTGGTTTAATTTTTTTGGTCACAAATGTCTATTTGTTGAAAATGAAAGTTTTTGTGGGAAAAGGTCAGTTCTGATGAATTTCTCAACTCACTTTTTAAAAAAAGTTTAGAAATTGTCAAAACATCCAACTTTTGACATTTTTCAAAATTAACATGCTTGGTTTTCTTTCAAAACAACTCTTCATTTAGCTAATTACAGTCCACTCATTTAAAATTTTAAAAAGTGATTGAAATTGAAACAAAATGTTTATTGAACTAAAATGTTTTGATTAACCTGAACTGAAATGTTTATAAACATGTTTGAAATTTCAACTTTTTGTTCCAATTTGGGACAGGAAACATTTCCCAAATCTCAATTTTTTGAGTGTGTGACAGGCAAACCATTTCCTACCCAGCTCTGATTAGTGGCATTATAAATATCAATACTTCCAGCTTCAGGAAGAAATTAAACTCACTGCTGAAGACGTAAAATTTGTATTGCCAAACATGGGATACTATTTTGACATGGTATTTTGAGACTTGTCATTACCTACTAAATATGTGCAACAGTTTTTACCCAATGGAATAAACAAGCAAATCTGAGGCAGTGTATGCACTGGAGGAAAAAGCGTGTATGCTGATTCTGAGAAAACAGTAAAGAGTTAGCAGACAAAGTGTTAGTTGGTTTTAGTAGAGGTTGGGACAATATTGTTGGTCATTATGCATTTTGATTTAAGACAATTTTTTAAAATTTCTATAATTCTTGTCAGAGGCTGTACAGAGAATATGCATGTGACAGGGTGTACCAACCCCGCATGGGGCCAACTGGGGCTGACCAATCACTGTGGGCCCAGGAGGCCATGCCCCCCTGCCGTGCATGCTCCAGGTGGAAGAGCCAGATAAAAGGAGGCAGCCCAGCTCAGTGGGGGCGGTTGGCGGATGGAGCAGGACGAGTACTGCGGGTTCCTGCAGAAGTATCTGTGACGCTCCAGGCAATAGAGCCAATAGATCCAGACTACATCATGGACAACTCACTGACTGCAGACACTGATGGGAAAGTTGAGCCGCCGCCAGCTGAGGAGATGCCCAGGATGCACTTAGTGGTAGGAAGTGATGCAGGGGAGGTAGTAGAAGCGGATACCTGAGATCCT